CTCTCTGGAGGCGCTGCGTCCTCCTGCATGGTCTCGACGCAAGCCATCATCATTGCTGGCCCACTGTCCTCTTCAGCCTGCAAGAGATTTGCCGCGGCTGCGGCATCCTCGTTAGCCATCCTCTTGTGGCACTCACGGGCCCAGTGGCCCTTTATGCTGCAATATCGGCACTTGTCCCGGTCGTCGTTGCCGGCACGTCGTCCAGCTCCGCCCTGGGTGCGACCGTCGCCTCTGCCGGTGCCGCCTCCACTACTCGGGGCACCGGCACCACGTCCTTGATGCATCCTCGCCTCCCAGTTCTTCGAGAATAGGAGTTGTCCACCGTCGAAGCTCTCGCGACCGTCGTCAAGGCGGTCCTCAACCACCCGCATCCGGCCCATGAGCTCCTCGATGGAGAGCTCGCTCAGGTCAAGCAAAGTCTCGATGGAGACCGCTACCTGAGCGAAGCGAGGTGGCACGGAGCGGAGAAATTTCTGCACGACTCTCGCGTCGTCTATGGTGTCGCCGAGCGCGCGGAGCTGAGATGCAAGGCTGGAGATCCACATGGCGAAGTCATCGACGAGCTCGCCCTCCTTGAAGGTGATGTTCTCGAAGTCCGCCTGCAGCTTCTGCGCGTTCGCCTCGCGCACGCGGTTGCTGCCGAGGCACTGGGTACGGATGGCTTCCCATGCCTCCTTGGCGCTTGCCTTCGCAGCGAGCATACCGTGCATCTCCGGCGGTGTGGCGCGCATGAGTGCCATCACGGCTTTCCTGTCCGCCTTTCTCTCGACCAGGTTGTCCTCCATGGGAACCCAAAGGCTCGCCGCATGGAGGTTGCACTCTATGATCAACACCCACTCACTGTAGTTCGAGCGCGTGAGCATCGGGAAGGTGATGGGCACGCTACCGCTGATTGCGGTCTCGCGCACGATCTCCCTAACCACGACCTCACCGCGATGGTCGTGCCTGGACCGGTTGCGCCCTCACCGCTCCTTCGAAGGCGGCGACTGGGAGCCGTACTGTGATGGCCCCGACTGGGAACCACCTGAGGTGGTGCATTGTTGCACTCCTTTTGCACCGGCCATGGCTACCGCAACCTGGAGCTCTGATGTCAATTGTTAGCCCAAGAAAACTCTCGGCTAACTAATATCCCGATGAATGACCGGTGGAAGAGCTAAGTGCTGGTACTACTTGCTTGCGTTGCGTGCTACGTCTTGAGCTTGCATTGGTTTTTCTTGAAGAGGAAAGGGTGATGCAGCAATAGTAGCGTAAATATTTCCCTCAGTTTTTGAGAACCAAGGTATCAATCCAGTAGGAGGCTCCTCAAAAGTCCCACACACCTACACAAACAAAATAAGAACTCGCAACCAACGTGATAAAGGGATTGTCAATCCCTTCACGGCCACTTGCAAATATGATAAGATAAATATGTTTTTGGTATTTTATAATGTAGATGTAAAAAGTAAAGATGCAAATAAAAGTAGATTGGAAGCAAATATGATAAGAGATAGACCCGGGGGCCATAGGTTTCACTAGAGGCTTCTCTCAAGATAGCATAAGTATTATGGTGGGTGAACAAATTACTGTCGAGCAATTGATAGAAAAGCGAATAGTTATGAGATTATCTAGGCATGATCATGTATATAGGCATCACGTCCGCAACAAGTAGACCGACTCCTGCCTACATCTACTACTATTACTCCACACATCGACCGACTCCTGTCTGCATCTAGAGTATTAAGTTTGCAAAGAACAGAGTAACGCTTTAAGCAAGATGACATGATGTAGAGGGATAAACTCATGCAATATGATATAAACCCCATCTTTTTATCCTCGATGGCAACAATACAATATGTGCCTTGCAACCCTTTTTGTCACTGGGTAAGGACACCGCAAGATTGAACCAAAGCTAAGCACTTCTCCCATGGCAAGAAAGATCAATCTAGTAGGCCAAACCAAACTGATAATTCGAAGAGACTTGCAAAGATAACTCAATCATACATAAAACAATTCAGAGGAGATTCAAATATTTCTCATAGATAAACTTAATCATAAACCCACAATTCATCGAATCTCGATAAACACACCGCAAAAAGAGATTACATCGAATAGGTCTCCACAAGAGATGGGGAGAACATTGTATTGAGATCCAAAAAGAGAGAAGAAGCCATCTAGCTAATAACTATGGACCCGAAGGTCTGTGGTAAACTACTCACAACTCATCGGAAGGGCTATGGTGTTGATGTAGAAGCCCTCCATGGTCGATTCCCCCTCCGGCAGAACGCCAGCGAAGGCTCCAAGATGGGATCTCGCGGATACAGAAGGTTACGGCGGTGGAAATTGTGTTTCGGGTGCTCCCTGGATGTTTTCGGGGTATGTAGGCTTATATAGGAGGAAGAGGTACGTCGGTGGCCGCCCGAGGGGCCCACGAGACAGGGAGGCGCGTCCTATAGGGGGGCGTGCCCTACCCTCTCGTGGCCGACTCGGCTGCTTCTTGACTTGCACTCCAAGTCCCCTGGATCACGTTCGTTCCAAAAATCACGCTTTCGAAGGTTTCATTCCGTTTGGACACCGTTTGATATTCTTTTTCTTTGAAATACTGAAATAGGCAAAAAAAACAGTAATACAGGCTGGGCCTCCGGTTAGTAGGTTAGTCCCAAAAATGATAATAATGTGTAAAATAAAGTCTATAAACATTCGAAAGGGGTAATATAATAATGTGGAACAATTAAAAATTATAGATACGTTGAAGACGTATCACTGCGCACACTAGCAAGTACGCACACACACACACTAGCGAACATACACGGATGGAGCTGCACTTGAGAAAGGAGTACTACTTGAATTGATCGGAGTGGAATAATTTACAACGATGGATGCATATGCCCTTTTATAGGGATGCTTGCCAGCTTCACTACACGAACTGTAGTACTAGTTCAGCTCAGCCTTTTGGACTAGATAAAGTCTAATACTACTTCTCCAGCTTAGCCTTTTGACAGGAGAAAGACTACTACTACTCAGCTACTTCTCCACCTCAGTCTTGCGCAATGGCAGTGTCCTGTAGACAGGGTTTGACACAACACTATGTAGCTCAAGTTTCAGGCGTGCTACTTGGTTTCTGTAAACAAACAACTTGGTGAAAAGGCAGCATTTGGAATTCAGGATCTCTCTCCATACCTTACATTTGCATGGCAACAATGGAGCAAATTAACATGTCATACATGAAGTTCCACCTGTATACATTATACATCTTTTTGAAAGATTTTTTTGTATTGATTACATACATCATGACAATGTGATCTCAGGTGGTAGTTAAATCTCAAGGTTAAAACCGAGGAACCGTGCATAAACGTCAGAGGGCCTTTTGCAGGAACGGAAAATGGACTGCAAATAGCATATATGTTAAACAACAGTTGGCTTGCCGCCATTAAACAGTTGAAAAACTAAGCATCCTGCTACCACGTCATGCATGTTCAGGGCTGGTTCAGATGAGGTGTCATCACTGAAGCCTGAAGATGGCCTCAGACAAGATCAACAAACTCAAGTGATAGCTATTCAACAGCTTACCAAGTGAAACACTTCCCTTTCACAAGAGGGCAACAAAATGTGGAATTGTAGAATACAAAACATGACACGGTAAGCAAAAGCAAAGAAGAACAGGTTTACGGAATCTGCACAGTTATATATATGTTCCAAAAGTTCTCTTTAAAAAAAATGAAATGCCTCCAAATAAACAAAGGAAACATCTGCACAGTATAATTAGTGTAAACATTTACTCCCTTTGTAAAGAAATATAAGAGCATTTAGATCTTGTAACAGACTTGGGATAGTATACAACTATAAATTCGGCACCAATTAATTATTTCCTGAATAAGTTTCTATAAGAATGCATTTTTCTAATGTTTCATCACATCTCACATCGAATGGGCTTGGTAGCTTAGCCAACCGCTGCTTTGAGAAGGCATAATAGGATAAGTGTACAGTAAAAGCAAAACATCCTAGAAAATGCTAGTGATCTAGCGTGGCCCAAGACACAGATGTTGAAACTTACCTTTGTCCAAAAGATCTCTGATAACTTAAGAAATAGAAAAACTAATCTCAGAATCTTATGGTCTCAACATTAATTGTAAGCATGCTGAAGCTGAACAAATTACTGTGCACACGGCGGCAGACCTGGGAAACAACAAGGAAAAACCGGCAGCACATAGAGATTCTTGGGAGAACAAAACGACCAGAAGAAATCAAAGTAAAGGCACAACAACAATGATCCCTCTGACCAACCAATCCTTTGACAGTGTCCAGGAACTTCAGTACATATAGCAGATTCAGTTTAAACTTTAAACTCAATTGTTTCCAGCATTCCTTTGAGCCAAGAAAGACGCTTTATTTGGCACGTTCCACTGCAATATATATAAGGGATACCGAAGTAACTATAATAAAGCTAAACCACGGTGATCAAACTATACTTTGCGCTTGGCAGCTTTCTCCCATATATCAATAAAGATAGTAGGGCATGCTTTTTTCAGGTGCTCATACCCTACACTGTCCATCACATCATCTATTCTATCCAAGGTTTTAGTTACCGAATGAGGCAATTTTATCGAGGGGGACTGATAAATGTGGTTACCACGGTTACCGCGAAATACCGAGAAATACCGAGAATATTTCGAGCAAATTTTGTAGTTGAATTTTGAATTCAAATAAGTGAATGAACGAATATTCGAACTAGAGACCTCTCAAAACAGGAACTAGGTTGCTACCAACACGCTAGAACCAACTCTCATGGCATTAATTAGATCCTACGTACTTTACAGTAAATCGAGCGTTTAAATTCAAAAAATTCAAGAAAAATGGTATTTTTTGCTCGGTATGGTGATTTACCGAGGGGCACGGAAATACGCGGTAACCATGGGAAATCTTGAAATTTCGACCGGTAACCAAAACAGTGATTCTATCCAAAGAGTTGATAAATCCAATGCAAGCCTCTTTGAGCTTGCTGCAATGATGCTGGTCTGCAAGAGCTAACGTGTCCGCTCAGTCTTGGCATCAAGAAACTCAGAAAGTTTTCTCTCATACATCAACTTCATCCTTTCCATGACATACCTATCAGCAGCCACGAGCAAATGCCTGACCATTTCTTCATCATCATCATGAAGGTCGTCCAAGGGAGGCAACTCATCTGTATAGATGAAGTGGAGCAGTGCTTTGAAAACAGCGGGCTCCATGTCTTTAATGGTTATGCTCTGCCCCTGCCCACACTTATCCCTCATCGGCCCGTAGAGCTCCGCCTTGAATACCGGCGATCGCATTGCGAGGACGACCTTATGGGCAGTGAATACCTCATCTTTGACCTTGAAAGACACATCCAATTCCTCCCTCGCATCCATCAAACTTCTAAGATTGTGCAACAAGTCTGAAGGCGGCACTTCGATATTAAAGCTCATGCCGATCTTCCGCATCTGTGCCTCCTTCAACTTGATAACGGTGATGTCACACTTAATGAGAAGGATGTCATCGGGGATGTACAAGTACGCCGACCCTTCGATCTGGCTCCTCCTCACGAACATGGAATGGTCCAAGCAGGATAAGGCATCACTAGAGGCAGTGGCGATTCTACTAGGGAGGCTTCAATAGGCTTATGCCTACCCTCCAAAATCCTATTTAAGCCAAACATACCACTTGACAAGTATATTGTGGTGGTTTACATACAACAATTGCAATGCATTTGCTAATTAGACTTAGGAAATTTGTGTTTTAAGCCTACCCTCCAATGTCCTGCTAGATTCGTCACTGACTAGAGGGGTTGTTGAACACCACAGGCGCCGTAGGTTTTGGCCATGTGAATTGCGCTGGCGACGTCCGTGCGGCCTGCTCGATCAGCATCAGATGGTACAGCGCCCTCACCTCCGCGTCCTTGCTCAGGAGCTCGAGGAAGACGGCGACGTGGTCCTTGCTGCCCTCCGTGTAGCCGTCTGGGTAGTAGCTGAGGCGCCAGTCGTAGCCGCCGACAGCGAAGGGGGCGGACTGGATGACCTTGCCGACGCCGAGGCCCTTCCACAGGCTGTAGCCTTCGATCTTGAACACGTGGTCGCCCCGCGCCTTCTCCGGGGTGCAGGTCGAGATCGTCGAGATCCCTGGGCTCTTGGGCGCCGCCATTGCTGGTCTCTCTGGGCTGGGTGGAGAGAGAAATTAAGCGCCGCGGGCGGCGGTGACGATGGGTGCCAGCGGGTTAGGAGAACGGAGCCGTGGAGGATCTGCAGGCGCTGCGGGGCGGCGGCCGCACGACGAGGGGAACGATGGGTGGAGCGGGCTGGGAGAACGGCGCCGAGGAGGATTTGCTGATTCGCGGGCCGACGGTTTTGGAGTTTGGACTGCGCAAAAATGGGTAATTTGGGGAAAGTGCTCGGCCCACGCCACCTGAAGCACGGCAACCGCTGTTGATCGTCGGCGAATGCTATATCTCGCTTATAGCGAGACTAGCATCCGTCTTGCCAGAATGGCTCGCACATATGGGCCGGCCCCTTAGCGCTGTCGCTCGCTCATTCAGTCGTGTGCCGGAGCAACTAATACTTGGCATGCTCTCATCCGTCATCACACGTCATGTGCTGAGTGTTTCCTTAGGGATTTTCTTTTTTACATACGCATTTTTGGGTTTTAGATGTTTTTTTGGCTTTTAGGGTTTTTCCCGTTTCTTTAGGCATTAGACAAAAAAAAATTGTTTTACAGAAAAATATATTTTTTTGCTTCTACGGGAGATACATATTTGCTTGTGGTGAAAGCACAGCTGCGCCTCTTGAAATATAAAAAAAAGCACATATTTGCTTCTCATGAAGACACATGTTTTCTTCCGCGGGAAAAAAGTCGAAAAAACCCGTGCTTCTGGCTCATTTCTTTCTTTACTTTTTTCCATGGAATTTTTTTCTCGTCAAAACCTATTAACATGAGATCCAGTATGAAAGATCTCGATACGAGAAATCCAATCATGAAAACGGTTCAGGATTTGGACGCGCGGTTTAAGAGATAAAACATTTTGAATAAATGAATCTACGAAAAAAAAGGAGAACTCCCAGGTTGCATCCGGGTTTTTCTCCTTATTTTCTCTTTATCATTTTATTATATTTTTCCTTTGGGTTTCCTTCTTTTTTCTTCTTCATTGGTTTATGTTTTTCATCATTCTTCTTTGTGTCTTCCACAATTTTCACTGGGTTTTTCTTTTCTTTCGTAATTTTTTTCTTTCTTATTCAGCTTTTACTAGTTTTTTTGCTTTTCTACTTTAGTTTCCCTTGTCTTTTTGGTGCTTTCTTATAGGTTTATATAGGTTCTCTTTGCTATCTTTGTACACTTTCTGTATACACCAGGAATAGTTTTTATATGCACGTATAACATTCTAAAAATACATAATTCATACTTTTTAAATCATATATTTTATATGTCAGCTTTCTTTTCATAGACATTATACACTTTTTTATACATTAGGAACATTTTATATGTAAAAATTTAAAATTCTCCAAATTCATGATTAACTTTTTTTATAACATATATTTTTATGTCCACTTTTTCCATAGACATTCTACATTATTTGTATACATCAGAAATATTTTTTATTTACACGTTCAGCACTGTCCAACTACATGATTAACATTTTTTTACACAAATATATTTTGATGTCTACTTTATTCGACACACATCGTACATTTTTTATACACCACAAATATATTTTTATACAGATTTAATATTTTCTAAATGCATGATTAACATTGATTTTGTTAGAACCTATAATATTTTTATTTCAACTTTTTCCAAAAAATTGTACATTTTTTGTATCCGTCTGAAATGTTTTTTTCTATACACACATAATTTTTTTAATGCATGATTAATATTTTTCAATCATTTTTGAAAAAATTATAGTATTTTTATTTCTAATTTCTTCCGTACAGATTGTATATTTTTGTATACATGTTTTACACATCGGAACCATTTTTTTGTTACACACTTAAAAAAATTATGCATGATTAACCTTTTTCAACTTTTGTATATAAAGGGTTTTTTATAATAGACATACTCAGAATATTTCAAAATATAATAGAAAGAAAAAACATAAAATGAATGCAAAAAAGTGAAAAGAAAAACCGAAAGAAACAAAGTGATGGAGGTCTGTGTCCGGGCTGGGTCGGCCCAACTGGGCTGCTACCTTCAGCAGGACATCCTACTTTCTTGCTTGAAACGAGACATAGGTGTGCCCGTTGGAGTTGTTGGATTTCTCCGAAGAGAAACACTACAAGAGTTGTTGGATTTTCTCAAGAGCGGGTAGTGGCATGGTTAACAAATTAGTGATGGGCAATTGACAAATAAATAGCATTCATAACTATGATCATTCATGGCATAATCTTGTATGGGCATCACGTCTGTGACAAGTAGACCGTAATCGAACTGCATCTACTACTATTACTCTACACCAAAATCTCTATCGAGCATACATCTCAAGGTATTAAGTTTGCAAGAAATAGAGTAACACAATAAGCAAGATGACATGATATAGACAAGAAGAAACCTATCAATAAGATAAATCTCTACCGTTTTATCCTTAGTAGTAACAACACATCATGTGCCTTTGTCCCTTTTTGTGGGAGAGATCATCGTGAGATTGAACCCACTACTACGTACCACTCCCTCTAAATAATTACCCATCTATTTTGCCCAGAGAAGACAAATAACTCATAAAGCACAAATAGCTATTCAATTATACAACAAAAAAACTTCAAAGGATTCAATTACATTCGATGAACAATCTGATTATAAATCAACAAATCATCAGATCTCAACAAACGCAACGTAAAAATTACATCGGATTGATCTCAAAGGAGATTATTATATTGAAGATCAGAGAGAGAGAAGCCATCTAGCTACTACTATGGCTCAATATAGGTCCTAAAGGAACTACTTACACATCATCATGGAGGCAGCAAGGTTGATGAAGAGGCCTACCACGGTGGTTTTCCCCTTAGACACAGCACCGGAATATGGCTCCAGATGGGATCACTTCAGAATAGAGGCTTGCAGCCACGATTTTTTTTCGGGTTTGCCTCTGAGGCTTTCGGGATATACGGGTATTTATGAGCCAAGAATTAGGTCAAACAGAGGCTTAGGGACCCCACATGGGCAGGTGGCATGGCTACCCGCTTGCCGCGCCACCGGGCCATGTGGCTGCCTCATGGGTCCCCTCGATCTCCCATGAAGCTTTTAGGGTCTCTTATTGTCCAGAAAAAGTCGTCAAAGAATTTCATCTTGTTTGAACCATCCTAGGTATGGTTTTACTACGAAACCAAAAACAAGAAGAAAAAAACATGAACTAACACTTGAAACTAAATTAATAAATTAGTCTAGCAATATATATATAATTATATATAAAGCACGCAAAAGCGATAATATAATAAAATTTAACAATAATTTTTTTTATATATGTTGGAGACGTTTCACTTTTTTTCTTCCAAGTCCCAAAAGGGGTTCTGCAAAGACTCGACTATTTTAGATACAAATTATTTTGGCAAGGAGACAGTGAAAATAAAAAATATAGACTGGCCAAATGGAGTGTGGTTTGTAGGCCGAAAGACCAAGTCGGCCTTCAAATTCATGACTTGCATGTTAAGTGTGAGGCCCTACTTAGTAAATGACTGTTCAAACTTTTTATTGAGGTTGACGTTTGGCAAATCATATTGTGCAACAAATATATAGGCCAAAAGGAGGTGTCTCAGATATATTGGAAACCTCGTGACACACACCTTGGGCTGGCCTAATGGCTGCAAAGAAACGTCTTTTTCACTTTGGGTCTTTTGCGAGAAAGGATGGGTCGGAGATTCATTTATGGGAAAACATCTGGCTAGGCAATGCCAGTCTCCGAGAATAATATCCAGTCTTGTACATCATTGTTCGCGATAAGAATACTACTATTGCGCTGGTGCTCAGTTCATACACGTCGAATATCTC